TAAGTTTTTGGAGCATAGAACTTTTGTTTTAATTTTTTTTCTATGGGAAAAATATTGAATCTTAATAGCGTATGTGTGAATGTATGTTTGTATATATGTAGAGAAAATTTTTAACAAAGCTGATTTATTTCCACATAAATGCTGTCGTTCATTTGAGTTCGCAAAACTGTGTTCTGTTTGACGAAAACGCAAAAGAATACCAATTACCAATGCCATCCCAACTCCGGGATTTTGGTATTATCAACGACAAATAAGTGAGCATCATCAAGTAGAGTCAGTCATGAACGAGCGGGTGAGACCATTTGCTTGTCGATATTAAATAGTTCATAAAAACATTTACTACATTTAATATAATAAATTTAAAAAAAGGTAAGTATTTCACAACGGAAGAAATGAAATTCAAGTTTTCAACTGCTCAACTCATCGTACAACGAAGGGGAGAGTAACGAATAACATACAACGCTAAAACTTTCCACGAAACAGTTAACGACGTTAACAACGCTTGGTTAGCAAGCATAACACTCCATGAAAAGCAACCAACGTTTAGCTCAAAGCAAATAATTCGCCGTATTCCACAACGCTAAAAGAGAAAGCGAAATAGACAGCAAAAACACGACAACGACAGCTTGCAAGCAGCGGTTAAGTTGAATTTGGTAGCAGCGACGGCGAAGCAAAAATTACTTCAGAGAAAAGTATATAAGCAAACTTTTGGGCAATTTTGCTATGCGGTAAAACAAGTGGTCAGGAAAGTAGACAGTTGCAGAAAAGTTTGGAAGTTAAGTAAACCTATTAGAGATTTAAGGGACATGATAGCTGATTAAGCAAGGTCTATGGCTACAATCGCATCAACACAATCAACGGCAGCAGCGATCAGCACACCACAGGGGATGGAAGCACCACAGACTTTAAGATTCATCAAGCACCATGGTACTAAGTACAAAATGTCATCGAGGTACTTCTGGAATAAAATCCACTAAACGAATGTTTAGAAAATACAGCGAACGTATATGTGGAGCGACGTAAGCCAAATTCTCGTGCGACATTGGTTAAGTTTTACTATGCGATGCTATCTCTTGGAAGAAGGGGGAACTTAGACGATGCTTCGATTAATTTCTACACGATCAACAGTGGAAATTATCTAACAAGGATACGCACTCTACTGACTATGAATGTAAGTAATTATAATATTCAAGTTTTACGCATCAAGCAACTGTGTTATAACTGCAACAAGCATGGACACATCGCTGTAAAGTGTCTACATCAACAACAGAAGCAACGCTGCTGCAAATGTTTCAAAGTAGGCCATGATGCAAAGAATTGCCCAGCTAACACTAAGGTTACGACAAATAAATGAACGTCATCAAGAAGAGTCGGTCATGAACGAGCGGTCGAAAGAGAATAGTTTCGAATGACTTAAAGAATTTTTTAACGATATTCGCTATTCTCTAACATGGTATAACGATTTTCGGATCGCAAAGAAGACTAAGCGATAATTATACGCTTTTAATATTCGATGTACTTATTTTAACGATATACGCTTTCGCTGTTGTCGTCAATTACTCGAAAAGCTCATTAAGGTTGAAATAAAGTAAAGTTAATCGTGAAATTGACTATGTTTTATAAAAGTGAAAACAAAACTTTAAACCAAAATAGTTTTTGAGCATTTGCCATACAATTTATCCAAAGGTGAGGAGGTATTATATACTTCATCATTAGGTAGAAGTTTGTTTCCGGAAGTTGAATATTGTTTCCCTTTGAATGCTTCTGTGTTTTTTGATAGCCTGGTGCAGAAAATAACAGCCTTATCTACGGAGAACCTGATAGTGATAGCTTTTAAATATTTTTTAAGTTTTCACACTATTAAGATTTTTAAAGGTCCTACCCGCCTTTCCATTCTTTGCAACTGGATGCTACCAACGTTCCATCGTAGAGCAATAAGGAATACCCTATATACTATACTATTGAATTCATCTCGTGACAGACAGCAGTCAACCGTTCAATGTCTCTTGCGAAGGTTAGATTTCCCAATACGTCGCTATTTGCTGGAGAAAATATTTGTTGCTATCGATTGCGAAGAAGCCTATGTCAACCTTCATGAACACCATTCTGCCATCGAGCAAATGGTGAGAGTGAATCTTTTCAATTACTATTGAAGTGACAAAGTTCATTATATTAGTAATTTATGTGATTCTTATCGCAAGATAGTAGCGGCAAATACAAGGAGCTCCTCTATTTGAGAAATTTTGTTATGCATTGCTACTCACTTTATAAGAATATATATAACATATTTATTTTTTAACTTTTCATTCCTTATTGTGCTCTTCGCATATTGTTACGTTTTGTGGTCAGCTGTGATGCCACTTTTCCTTTATTTTAATAAAATGGAAAAGTGCATTGTCAATTATCGTAAAAATTGAGTTAGAGAATCGCATAGTCGTTAGCGCAAGCGACAAAATTCGCAACTTTGCAAGCCGACCAAACGTGTCGATAAAAGTTACAAAATTGCACTGCTGGTTTCATTGTAACGGTTTATACAAAACTACCGTTTACGTTCTTAAATATTTAATTATAATGCTTGACTGTAAGTGACAGTTTTTCTGTTTCGCTTTGATGCTAACAGTTTGTCATATTAATATTCGTGGTAATTGTATCTTAATACAACAACATGTAAATATAGGGGACATATTGTATCCAAACGAGTTGAACGATTGAATTAAGTTATGAAAAATTCATAGGCAATGAATTTAGCTTGTGTTCGCTACTTGTTTTATTAATTTATTGCTTTTTTAGATTTCTTACAAAGTATGGCAACATCATTTTTGAGCAGTTCTAACCCAAGCCACAGTGAACTTTAATTATTCCTCACCTTTCAAGAGCCTTTGCAGAGTATATTAGAAAGCCAAGAGGAGGTATACTTTTACATATTAATCAAAAGTAGAAATCATTGGTGTATAACTTTGCGTGGGGGTAAAACTGGTCTCCTTTTTTTATATAATGATGAAAACGGGTTTTTGATTTTTACTTCAGATATTTTTTATTGTATATATGGAGATCAAATTAGCTAATTCATTTGTTTTTATATAATTGACAGGATTTTGAATTTTGTTTATATTCATTAGTTAAGATAGCAATTTTGATTGTTATAAAAAGGTAGATTGTATGTTTCTAACAATTTTTAATTTAAATGTTTAAACTAAAGTGACGAAGAGCGATAAGCGATTCACGGTGTTGAGGCACTGCGGGTTGAACATCGAATGTCGATGGTACTGCTTACGGCTATAATAGCCGGGTATAAAATTACAAGAAAAAGGTTGCGGGTGCTGATGATTTGGCGACACTGGGCAGCCCGATGAACACATAGCGGCGTTGCCACCCGCGAAGGACGACCATGGCTTACTCCGAAAACGTTAGGAGGTCCATGTCCTCAACATGGCGCCCCCCCGGCGTTGGCGCTTGTATCTCCCTCTCGAGCTTGCCGATCAGACTTCGGACATCCTTCACCAGTTGCTGCAACTTCTTTCGCTGCTGGGCCGACCGGCTTGATAAAGAGTGAGGTTGGTTTGTGACATTCGCTGCGCCGCTCACCCTCCTTAGCCTCGCCCGGTGGAGCAGAGTATGATGCCCGAGAGTGCACCGATGGCAGCTAGACCTTGAGTTGCATTCGCCGGTCGCATGGGACGTTGCCAGGCAGTTGATGCAGTACCGGTGCACTCTCGCGCACTCATACCTGTCCTCCGGTGCCATGGCGAGGAAAGCAGGGCAGTGACGCAGGGAGTGCAACCGGCCGCATAATCGGCATTTCCTTGATGTCGCCTCTCGTTGTGATCTAGGAAAAGATTGAAAATTTACGACTTTAGTGCATGGTTGCAAAGTGTATATAAAGATGTTTTAGATGAGTTGTATATTTTTTTTTTTTATGAGTAAATGTTGGGATTGAGTGAGAGGGTACGAGGTTCACACGGCCGGCAGCACACACAATTTCGCTATGTTTCGAGTTATCGTTCCGTTCTGCGTGAATATGTCCACAACACGGACCTTTTCATTTGCACCTTGGTGTAAATTGGTTATCCGTCCTAGTCGCCATTCGTTCGGGGGGAGAAGATCATCCTTGATGACAACTAAATCACCTTCCTTTACGTCGCTTTCTGCTCTTTTCCATTTGTACCTCTTGTGCAATTCCTTGAGATACTCATTCTTCCATCGAGTGCTAAATTGGTGGTGAAGAACTTTAAGCTTTTGCCATTTGGGAACCAGAGCCAGTTCTTCGGCATTGGGTTCGGGTATCGATAGCAATGGAGCACCGCGGAGAAAATGTCCAGGGGTGAGTGGGAGTAGGTCCTGCGGGTCCTGCGACATGGCTGAGAGCGGTCGGGAATTGAGGACCGCTTCGATTCTCACCGTCAGGGTTGTGAGTTCCTCGAAATTGAATTTATGGTTTCCGGCGACCTTATTGAAGTGTAGTTTGAAGCTTTTCACTGCTGCTTCCCATAATCCACCCATATGAGGGGCATATGGTGGAATGAACTCCCAGTGGAAGCCGGATGATGCGTATTTGGCGGAGACATCGGCGGATACTTCCTTCAAAAAGGCATCAAACTCACGTTGGATTGTGCGTTGAGCTCCGACGAACGTTTTTCCATTGTCGGACATAATCTTATGGGGAAGCCCGCGACGTCCAACAAATCTAGCGAAGGCTGCTCGGAATGCCTCCGTGGTCAAGTCAGAGCAGACTTCGAGGTGTATGGCCTTAGTGGAGAAGCATACAAACACACAAACGTAGGCCTTTGCATATGAAGCGCGCCGATGGGTAGATACCTTTACTAGGAATGGACCAGCGAAATCCACTCCCGTAGTACGAAACGGTAGTGTGTAGGTGTTCTTTCTGAGGGTAGTGCTGCCATGATCTGTGATCTCATCTGTTGTTTATGTATGGTGCATGTTTTGCAGTGAAAAATGCACTTTTTTATTTTGAGTTAGAGTCGGGGAATGTAGTATTCTTGTTATACCATTCGCATCATTAGCTGGTTTCCAGCATGTAGCATGGTGGTATGGAGAAATTTTAACAGCAGAGTGCAAAATATCGAGTTCCCTGGGATGATTATGGGGTGTCGTTCGTTTCCGTTTACGCGCAGTACACCTTTGCTATCCAGTATCGGGTTTAATGTCAGCAACATGTCCTTCTTGCTGATTGGTTTTGAGGTTTCCAGTTGCGAGATCGTTTCACCATAATGTCTTCGTTGAGTTAGGATTATGAGTCGCATTTTTACATTGTTTATCTCTTCGTGTGTTAGAGTCACGTTCATCTGGGCTGACAATTTCCGTGAGCTATGAATGAAACGATACACGTAAGCACGTACCCTAAGGGCTCGGGGAAAGGAGGAGAATCTGTCCAAGATATCTGTGGATTGAATGGTATGGAAGGTGGCAATTTGCCTTTGTTCCGGAGGAGATGAGTGCTGGGGGTGAGAGTTAGGCCATTCGTTGACGGATTTCGAGAGCCATTCAGGGCCTTTCCACCACAGAGTATTTCCGATGAGGTCTTGAGGTCGGCAGCCACGTGTACCTAGATCGGATGGGTTGTCGCTGCTGCATACATGACGCCACTTAGCATTACTTATCAACTGCAGGATTTGGGATATTCTATTTGCTACATAAGTCTTCCAAGAGTGGGGTGGTTTTTCAAGCCAGGCTAACACGATGGTCGAGTCCGTCCACAGAATTAGTTCGTGGGGTGGTAAACTTAATTCTGTTTGTATTTGTTTTACCAATTTTGCTAGTAAAACTGCTCCACAGAGCTCTAAACGGGGAAGGCTTATCGTTTGAAGAGGTGCTACCTTTGTTTTCGCAGCGAGTAAATGTGAGGTGAAGGAGTTTTCGCCGTGTTGTACTCTCATGTACACACAAGCGCAGAAGGCTTTTTCTGAGGCGTCTGAGAATCCATGGAGTTGAACTGGTTTATCAGGAATGAGTTCAACCCATCGAGGTATTTGGATATCCTTTATTGCCGGGAGATTCTCATGAAATGAGTTCCATTTGTGTAGGGATCCGGATTTCACATTTTCGTCCCAATCCGTTCCTTCTAGCCAAAGTGTTTGAAGTAGTATCTTGGCTACTATCATAATTGGTGATAACCATCCTGCCGGGTCGAACAGTTTCGCTACCGCAGATAGAATCTGGCGCTTCATGCTGCTCTTTGCGGTGGGATGAGGTTCGTAAGCATAAGAGAATGTGTCTGAGAGCGCGTTCCAGCGTATTCCTAGAGTTTTTGTGGAACTTGTGTCGCTGAATTTAAGAAAATCGGCATCTAGCAAATGAGCTATTGGGATATTTTCGAGTATTTTCGGGTGGTTTGCCGTAATTTTCTTAAGGGGGAATCCTGCTGAGTTTAAGGCTTCGATAACTTGGGTAAGCGAGTTGATAGTGGACTGTATTTCATTACCTCCTGAGAGTATGTCATCTACATATATTTCATTCCGTAGGATATTGTGTGCGAGAGGGTATTCTCCTTTGCAGTCCTCGGCTAATTGATGTAGGGTACGATTAGCTAAATATGGGGCACAGTTAACGCCAAACGTAACTGTCTTTAGCTTGAAATCTTCTATTGGGGAGTTTGGGGTTTTACGAAAGAGGATTCGTTGGAAGTCCTGATCTTCCTTGTTAATGAGTATTCGACGGTACATTTTCTCAATGTCACCGTTAAAAACGTACTTATGGAGTCGCCAACTGAGGATTATTAGCATTAAATCATTTTGGAGTGTTGGGCCTGTGTGCAAAACGTCATTTAATGAGTTCCCTGATTGAGATACCCGGGAAGCGTTGAATACGACCCGTACCTTTGTGGATGTGCTGTCGGGTTTGATGACAGCGTGATGTGGTAGATAGAAGGAGAAGTACTTCCCATCCTTGATTACTTCGCGTGGTGAAGTGGGTTCCATGTGGTCCAGTGTCAGGTATTCTTCGAGAACCTCCTGATATTTTTGCTTCAACTCTGGTTTTCGTTCCAGTGTTCGCTCGTTGCTGATGTACTGCTGCTGTGCTGCAAGTCTTGAGTGACCTAGGGCTGCGTCTCTGGGAAATTCCGGTTTGAATGGTAATTTTACTACGTATTTACCATCCTTTTGGCGATTTGTTGTTTTGCGATACAAATCTTCGCAAAATTCATCCGCTTCTGAGTTAGTGTGAGTATCTGGTACTTCTTCTTGCTCCCAGAATCTCCTTAGTTGGATGCTGATTGGATCATTTTGGGCTGGGTTGACCTGGGTTGAGAAGGATTCTATTTTTTGGGTTGTTGGACCGCTGATTACCCATCCAAATATTGTCTGCTGAGCTAACAGGGTGCCATTGTGGAGGTGTTGCATTCCTTGCATGAGGATTTGGGGTGCTAAGTCGCTGCCGATTACCATGTCAATTCGAGATGGCGTAAGACATTTCGGGTCGGCTAACGCTAATGGGGTAATATCGTGTATTTCAATGGATGATACTTGGGTTGTGGGTAGCAGGTGTGTGAGCTTGGGTAATATGATTGCTCTAGCTTTTATGTGATGTGATAAGTCTGACGAACATAGGGTTAGTTCGCATACTTTGTTTGAGATTTGGACGAAAGTTCCTCCCATTCCTGAGATTTCGTAATGGGTGTTTTCTGTGGGTAGATTGAGTGTTTTTTGAATCCGAGATGCGACAAAGGTTTTTTGGGAACCTTGGTCTATCATTGCTCGGATTTTGTGGTATTCTCCCGCGACATATATCGGGACCATTGCTGTGGGTAAGAGTGTCGTTTCATTGCTGCTTGCGTGGTGAGTTGCTATTCTGCTGATTGTCTTCTTCTGGTTCTGAGGGGTGTGGCTGATTCCTGTTGACGTTGATGGTCTGTCGTCTGCTGTTTCCACCGCGGTAGCTGCCTGTGCTGTCGATGATAAGGGTTTTGAGTATGGGGTTGAGTTTTGAGAGTTGTTTGGGTAATGGAGTAGTGAGTGGTGTCGACGTTGGCAGTAAACGCAGGTAAATTTGCTTTGACATTGATTTCGCATGTGTGAACAGGAGAGGCAATTTTCGCAGTAATTGTTCTCACGAATGAATTTGAGTCGATCAGACACTGAGAGGTTTCTGAACCTGATGCATATTTTCATCCCGTGGTTAGAGTTGCATAACTTGCAAGAAACGGGTTTTTGGAATCCTGTATGAAAGGTTTGTGTGCGACTTTTATTCGCAAATGGGGAGCTTTGATTGCCACCTCTGGGTGTATAATTGTTAAAGAGGGGTTTGGGTTTACCCGGGCGGTATGTTCCCAGTCGTTCCACTACTTCGTATCTACTGGTCATGAATGCGTTCATTTCGGACCAGAGTGGTAGTTCCTTCCTTGAACTGAGTGATTGTTCCCATAACGCGAGTGTTTCACTCGGGAGTTTGGAGGAACATATATAAATAAGTATGGGATCCCAATCTTCAGTGGAAATATGTTGGGATGCTAAATTGGAGAGGCAGTTATTTATTGTAGTCTGCAGTTTTTGCAGCTGCTCTCCGTTCTCTACATAGATGGGTGGCAGATTGAGAAGGGTTTTGAGCTGGTTGTCTACCAGGATTCTTGGGTTCTCATAGCGAGACTTAAGTGCTTCCCAAGCAAGCGGAAAACTTTCATCTGTGAGTGGGTATTGTTTGACGATAAGGCCTGCTTGACCTTTCGTCTTGTGCCGTAAGTGGTATAATTTTTGGGCGGGTTTTAATTGAGGGTGATTTATATAGACTGCCGTAAACATGTCACGGAATGTCGGCCAGTCTTCGTACCACCGTGATATACTTCTGTATCACATGCTGGTACCTTGAGAAATATTTCATTAGAGCTTTGGTACGTGGTTGTATTCTGTGTTTGATGGGTTGTTTGGGTGGGTACAGATGCTGTAAAAAGCTGCAATGCTTCTAGCATTTGAGCTTTACAGTTCTGGAAACTTTCCGAACATTTAGCGTATTTCTGCTCTACGGATTCGCTGACTTCTGGATATGCATCTGCCATAAATATTGCCTCGTAAGCTTCTAGAAGGCTGTCCCAATTTTTGTCCAGCTGCTGTAATTTGACGTTGAGTAGGGTTTCCGTTTGGTCACTCGCCAAGTCCGTTGACCATTTTGCACAGAAGATCTCCAATCTGTTTGTTTCAAAGATGAATTTTTGTAAATATTTGTTCATCTTGGTCGATGCTTTTTCTGCCTTATCTTCTGGCATTACGTGAGAGTTAGTGATTTAATTAATGGGGTTTGTGAAAAAAAAATTAAATTGATATTTGGTACGTTTGTAAAAATAAAAATTTAATTATGTTTGGTATATATTTACCAGTCGAAAAATGTATGGGTGTTTGCCTATTGTATGTATAATATGGATGTGTATGCAAAATTAAAAAAAATTGAGAAAATGGGAGGAAAATTTTTTGTTAAAATTAAATTGAGAATATTCCCCAGTAATTATTATTATTTAAATAAATAAATTATGCGAAATGAATCTGTTTTTTGTTTAAAAATTTGTTCGCTTTTGTACCACTGTACAAAAGTGTATTAATTGTTTGGTCGCGGCCCACTGTGTGTGTTAGGCTCCGCCTTCTTTTGTTATTTTGCCTCAGCGCGTCTGAGTGCAAANTTTTTTTTTTTTTTTTTTTTTTTTTTTTTTTTTTTTTTTTTTTTTTTTTTTTTTTTTTTTTTGGTTTTAATAAGTTATGACACGCTTGATAGGTAATGAATTACGCTTTTATTTACTTTTTGTTTTATTTAATTATGCACTTTAGTTTTTCTAAAATAATTCATCAAAATTGCCTATTTTCACTCTTTTGCTATTTATGCGCTTCTTTCGGGTTGGCTTTGCAAATGTATCCTACTTTCACTGCATATTGTATCGGTAAATTTCTTGGCAGCCAATAATTGCATTGTTGTTTTCCACTACATGTCACAGATCACTCACTGCAAGTCATCAATTTTCGATGACACACTACTTATTGCCTTGTTGCAATTTTATTGATTTTCTCACTCAATTTCAAATAGTTTTAGTTTAAAGTTAATTTTCAAGTATACTTAATTTTTAAGTATAATATATTCACTGTACATTAAATCACAAATCACAATCACTACTCTCCGTAACCGAACCGTTCGCTTTTGCTTATTCCGATCAACTGTATATGATTAAAAATTGTGCTATGGCCGTATTGCTCAGTTCGGTGATGCCAATTCTTTTTGATGGCACCGAAGGACCATGTATAACTCTCTCAGGTAGTAGAGCCGGACCTTGTTGATAGCTTTAAGCCGGGATCGAATACCCGATGCTTTAATTGTAGGCGGTTCGGACACATTTCGTCGGAGTATAAGAAGGGGATTAAGTGCTTCGGGTGCGGAAGACTTGGGGTCCGAATGGCTTCCCGAGTACCAAACGAAGTACGGATTGTAGTGGTGGTCGAAACCACAACCGCTTTAGGTCAGGGCCCGCGAGAGAAAGTAGGTCGGATGATAGAATAGGAAATTCTCGATCGAGCGATAGGGTTGTCAGGTCGGAGAACAGATCGGGAAACGGGAGATAGACCCCTGGAACAGCAGGACAGGTGGTCTAATAGGGCGAGCTAGTAAACCTGCTAACTCCCAGCTGACAAATGTAAGTGTTGAGGTTGAAGAAGTTATGCTGGCGTTTACGTTGGTGACGGACGGTCACGACGCACGCCCTTATTTGGATGTTAATATCCATGGTTTTGCTTTTAGGGCTTTGTTGGATTCTGGTGCGGCCAGAACAGTAATAGGTCAGCTAGGTTGGCAAAAACTTAACGCGTATGGTATTAAGGTGAATTCTGTTTATAATGTTTTGAGAGTGACTCTAGCGGATGGAGGTCATATCTCGGTGTTAGGTTCGGTTTTGTTGCCAATCGAGGTGGAGAGCCAGTCGGTTCTCCTTGAATTCATCGTGATCCAGAGCTACCTCAAGGCGTAATTCTTGACATCGGTTTTTGGGCCAAGGCGGGTATTATCCCGGATATCTCGAGGATGAGGTGGTCGTTTTCTCGGCCGGAACCAGAACCGTTGGTGGCAAAAGTGAACCACTCCGAGTTAGGCGAAAGAGAGTCTAGGGCATTAGGTCAGCTAATAGCTGGGGTGTTCCAGGCTATGCCGGAAGGGCTAGGCCGGACCCATTTGGTCGAGCATAGGATCAGGGTAAAGGCAGGAGTTGAACCTGTAAAACAGAGGTATTACCTTGTGTCTCCCGTCATACAGTCGGGTATGGACGAAGATATTAAGGATATGCTCGATAAAGGGGTGATAGAGAAATCACATAGTCCTTGGGCGTCTCCAGTAGTTATGATCAGGAAGAAAGGCGGTACATATAGGTTTTGTGTAGATTAGAGGGTTTTAAATAAATGTACCGAGAAAGATAGTTACCCACTTCCATACGTGTCGGCGACCTTGGATAAGCTAACTGGCGCCAAATTTCTCTCCAGTCTGGATATTAAGTCCGCCTATTGTCAAATTCCGGTGGAGGAGCAGTCGAGGCCCTTCACAGCACTTACGTTACCAGGCAGACTATTTCAGTTCAAGAGTATGCATAATACACCGGCAACTTGGCAGAGATTTATAGATTCGGTCATAGGACCAGAGTTAGAACCTCATGTTTTTGTGTATTTGTATGATATTATTATCGTCACAAATAATTTTGAGAAACATTTAGAGATTTTGAAAGACGTTTTGGATAGACTAGCTAGAGCAGGACTTAGACTAAATAAGGAAATATGTAATTTTTGTACGTCTGAGCTGAAGTATTTGGGCTACGTGGTGGACAAGAACGGTCTACACGTAGACCCCGAGAAGGTCGAGGCGATGCTTCGGATTGAGGTACCGCAGAACGTAAAGCAAGTGCGGTCATTTATGGAAACAGTGTCCTGGTACAGCAGATTTATAAAAGACTTTGCAGAATTAGTTGGGCTTCTCACCGAGTTAACGAAAAAGAACCGAAAGTTCAATTGGTCTGAAGATTGTGAAAGGAGTTTTAGACGGTTGAGAAACTGCGGCTATATGTTGAGGGCGCTAAGTTTACGGTCGTCACCGATCATTATTCACTTATTTGGTTGAATAAGTTGAAGGATCCGTGTGGTAGGTTAGCGAGATGGGCTCTGAAGCTCCAGCAAAATGATTTTGATATAGTGCATCGGAAAGGCAAGGAACATGTGGTTCCGGATATGCTATCCCGAAGTGTGCCAGTTATTGCTGACGTGACAACTACCGACCCTTGGTTGGCAAGGATGATCCGGCTGCTTGAGAAAAATCCTCTGTCGTATCCAGCGTGGAGTGTTGAAGGTGGCAACCTCTACAAGTTCGTTAGGTCAAGATTTTCTTCGGTTTACGGCGATTCGCCAGAGTGGAAAAGAGTAATAGGGCGTGACGGTAGAGGTGAGATTTTAAGACAATGTCACGACAATCCGTTAGCAGGCCATATGGGTGAAAAAGACTTTTGCGCACGTTTCACAAAAGTTCTACTGGCCATGGATAAAGTCAGATATTGCAAAATATATTAGGGCGTGCAAGACTTGTCAACAGGTGAAGCCTGAAAATTCACAGCCAGCTGGGGGTATGATAGAGAGAGACTACTTTTCCAAATCTC